AATGTATATTGTACACGTTTCACAGCATCTAGGTGCAAGTGACAATATTAAATAAATGTTAATCTACAGGCTGTACAGCATCTATGGTTGAAAATGAGATGCTGTTCCTCCAGCTGGCATTGGGCTTCAGTGGAACCAGGCCTAGGACAGAAATGGAGACAGAAAGGACTGCAAATGCTGGAAGCTACAGTCAATAAATGTGGAGCAGGAAAAGCACAGCAGGTCAGACTGCATCTGAGGAGCAGGAAAGTCTACGTTTTGGGCCAAAACCCTTCGTAGGATTGGGGGAGGTTTAGCAGGAGATGAAATACTCTTTTGCCTTTTGCCGTGGGTCACTTTCACTATCTGTTCCAGTTACAGCATAAAAGCCATCACTTTACCGGCCCTTTTCATACTAACCTCCCAGCATTATTTATGCCTCTACAGGTGCTTCCCAGATCTGCTGAGTTTCTCCAGCACTTTTATTTCAGGTCTCCAGTATCCACAATACTTTGCTTTCATACACTTCCTACCCCACTGTTTTGTATTCTAAAGAAAAAAGGTGGACCTTCGTCTGTCTTTGCGGCCTGTTTTATTGGGAGGGGCTGTCTGGAGTCTGCAAAAAGAACAAGTTCGCGCAAATTTTCAATGTTACACGTAGGATGGTTTGTGCCAATACCATGAAAGTGCTTAAAGCAACGAACCGGATCACTAGCACTTCTCTCGTATTTTATTTTGCAAACTCGGCGAACGTAAGAGTTTTGGTTAAAAACCGCAGTCGGGCTTGAAAGCAGGTTTTTCTGCAGTATCGGTCTGTTCCAGGATGCGCTCTCGTTACCCTGAAACAAGGCCCTGTTCCACTTCTGATGACGAACTTATTTGTCAAGTCCCCTCTCACTCACGTGACCGTCAATAATTAGCCCCGCGGAAGGTACCATTCCGATCTGTTTGCGCGTGTGGAGAGAAGTGAGGGGGTGACCGTGTCATTGATGGAAGCAAGCTCGCAATAAGGCGACGGCCACCCTTCTTCCTAAGCAATGGGAAGAAAGGCGAGAGGGTTCGATTTGAAGGTGAATATAATTTTTGTCAGGGTTGATTTTGGATGGGGATGAAATAAATGTCAGGTATCCTCCACCACCTCCTGTTTCCTCCCCCGCGCTGATAATGGGATTGTCCATGGAACGTTCAGACAGCCGGATCGAACGTTCAGTAACAATATTGTTTGATACGTGTCGGCGGCGAGTGTTGCAAAAAGCCGCTGCGTTCCTTCCGCTCTTTATGTCCCTTTATTAACCCGCAAACCGCGGCAGAGATGTCCACCCCAGCACGGAGGCGCCTAATGAGGGACTTTAAACGGTAGGAGGGAGGCTGGGCTGGGGTAGGAATTTCTTTCTCTCTCTCTCTCTCTCTTCTTCTTCCCCCACCCTCCCTTCCTTCTTTCTCTCTCGCTTAACATGGCGCTGCTTTGACTTTTAAATATGGAAACGCAGCGGGCCCGCTGGCTCGGATCAAGGGAGATGTGTTCACTTTATCTGTTTATGTTTAAACCCCCCTCCCTCTCTTTTCCTCCCCTCACCCCCGATTTCAGGTTGCAAGAGGATCCTCCAGCCGGTGTTAGTGGAGCGCCCTCGGAAAACAACATCATGGTGTGGAATGCAGTGATATTTGGGTGAGTGAAGACTGATCTCTTTCTCTCTTTACCCCGTCCCGGAGACGGGGTTGAGATTTGGGGTATAGTCGCTCTTCCTCTCT